AATAAGTATATGGTTAGCATGTGAGGCTTTAACCCATATATTTTTGTTTTGATTCCTGGTCTACTACAATTTTACTATGATGTTACTACCAGAAGTGCAGTAACGTCACATGTTACTGTACTTTTACAACAATGTTACTACTAGAGCATAGCAACATTTATGAGTTTCGATAGTGAAAGATATTAGAATTGATAATCATATTACTTTCTCATAAAATTCTTAAAACAAATAGTATCATTAGATGAATTGGTTAGAAGAATGTGCTTTGAACTATGTGGTCATTGGTTCAAGTCTTGAATTTGGCATTTATTTTTTATTTTTCCAAAAAAGAGAAAAAACACAGAAAACAATGAAATAAAAAAAGAGAGAGAGAAGGGAGGGAGGGGGAGCGAGAGAGGGGGGATCGAGAGCGAGAGAGAGAAGGGAGGGAGGGGGAGTGAGAGAGGGGGGTGGGGGATCTGGAGCGAGAGAGGGGGGATCGGATGAGAAGGGGTGTAGAATAGTCTTACCCTATATATATATAGGGTAAGACTATTCTATAGCCCCCTCCACTCCTCCCCGTCCCTCCCTCCCGATCCCCCCCTCTCTCTCTCCCTCTCCCTCCTTCCTCCCTCCTCCCGATCTCTCTCTTCTCTCGATCCCCTCCCTCCTCCCGATCTCTCTCTTTTTTTTATTTTTTTTTTCTGTTTTTTTTGCTCCCTGAAACATTTTTTTCCTCTTTTCTAGGAAAATAAAAAATAAATTGCCAAATTCAAGATTTGAACCCATGACCTTATAGTTCAAAGCACAATCATCTAACCAATTCGTCTAATAATGCTATTTGTTTCAAGAATTTTGTGAGAAAGTAATATGATTATCAATTCCTATATCTTTCACTATTGAAACTCATAGCATATTACTATGCTCCAGTAGTAACATTGTTGTAAAAATACAGTAACACGTGACGTTACTGTATAACACATAGGACATTACTGCACTTCTGGCAGTAATGTCATAGTAAAATTGTAGTAGACCAGGAATCAAAACAAAAATATATGGGTTAAAACCTCACATGCTAACCATATACTTGTTATTGTACAAAAGTAGAAGTGTTACTACATAATAGGTACATGTTACCACTTTCAAGTAGCTATGTTACTGCACAATAATTGTAGTTTTACTATGTCATTTTTACAAGATGAAGATTGAATAGGTGGGCTATAGATAAAGTCTGTAGGTGGCTTTGAACGAGGTCTGATTGATGTAGGAGTGTTTTGAACAATTTTATACATTTGGTAAAACCATGTTACTGCATGTATATACGTATGTTACTGCAAATTACATACTATGTTACTGCATATGGAGTGTTAAAGTTCAAAATGCCAATATTTGAAAAGCAATATGTCACAAGTTATGTATTATTTTTTAAAACCGTTTTCACAATGATTCTATAGTGTTACTGCATGTGGATGTTTAAACTTCAAAATGCATCTATGTATTCCCCTCCTCAAGAAACTGTTCTTCCTCCCTCTTTTCAAGAAAACCGATCTCCTCCCTCCAATATAGTGTTACTGCATATATATATATGACGTTACTGCACTTTTGACAATAATATTGTGGTGAACAACAGTAAATCAAGAATTGAAACAAAAATATATAGGTTAAAAGTCTTAGATGCTAACCATATACTTGTTACTGCACAAAAGTAAAAGTATTACTACACAGAAGATACACGTTATCACGTGTTTAATGCAGTAACACTACGCAAAAAAATACAGTAAAACGCAGTGTAGTAACGTCGTGATGTGATTATAGTAACGTACAACAGACAAATAGTAACAAGTAATAGTATAGTATTACCACTTGTGAAGAGACAAATTGCAAAAAAGTCGAGCTTTGAAAAACAATATATCCCAAGTGATGTAAGGTTTTTTAAAACCGTTTGCACCATGATGCTAGAAAAAAAGAGCTTATCAAAAGTAGATCCGTCATGACTATATTTCAACTATATTTTAACGCTGTTACTGCACGTAAGACACAATGTTACTACACAGTGGTCGTTGTATTACTGCACCGTCCTGGGACAAGAGCTGAGAAGAGGTGGGTTGTGGGGGGAGTTAGTAGGCGGGTTTGACCGGTGGGAGGGGCCTTTGACTAAGGTGGGAGGTGGGTTTTGGGCCTTGGTAAGAAGGGGGAAGTGGGTGTGACCCTTGAGAGGGAGGGAGGGACCCCCTCCCTCCTTCTCAGCCGAACTACCTAAGCCCATCCCTCCCTCCCTCCCGATCACGCCCGGCCCTGCATCTCTCCCAATCGCGCACGGGCGCGCCCGCCCCGCCTCCTACCTATATCTCTCTCCTCCGTTTTTGCACGCCCGGCCCCACTGCCCTCTCGATCCCGATCTCTCTCTCTCTCCCTTCTCCGCTTCATCCATCTCTCTCTCCGTTTTTTCCTTCGCTTTTTCTCTTCTTCCCCATCCCGATCTCTCTCCCATCTCTCATTTTTCCTTCTATTTTCTAGAAAAATTAAAAAAAATTGGTGAATTCAAGACTAGAACTCATGATCTTATTGTTCAAAGCAAACTCTCCTAACCAATTCACCCTATGACACTATATGATTTGAGATCATTCTTTGCTTTCTCTATATATCTGTTCAAATTTTGTGAACACAAGCCCAAATTTTATGAACACAAGCCCATTATGTTACTGTACGAATCATATCTTGTTACTATGATTCGGTAGTTACATTATCGTAAAAGTGCAGTAACACGATATACTGCGAAATTTATAAGCCGTTACTGCACATTCTACAGTAACATCGTGATGAAATTGTAGTAACAAAGAACATATGGTAGTAATGGTATTACCACAGTACCACTGCTTGTGCATAGTTAAATTTTTAAATCCAATCTTTGTGCAAAATATAAGTGCTAAAAAAGTATATGTGTATGGTCACAAGTTAACACAAAGTGCTAAAAGTACTTCTCTTTGTCCATACAAAGATACATAGTAGCAAAGCTTAGTACAAATAAACTTTTAGAATTCTAATCTGTAAAAAATAATATCTCTCACATTGCATATTATTTTTTAGAACCATTTTTACCATAATGCTTTAAAACGAGATTGCAACGAGACAATAGTCCTATTACTACACGATGATCGAGACAAAAATGCTTTTATAATGTTGTTACTGCGGAAAGTAATCATGTTACTGCACATTGAATGTTGTGTTACAACGCTGTTCTAAAGAGACGAGAGCTTAAAAAAAAAGGGTAAATCTCAATCTTTAGAGAGCAATATCTCTCATGTTATATAGTATTTTTCTAATCCGTCTGCACCATGATGTTCGTAAAATAGTGCTTAACAAAACTAGATCCATCTTGACTATTTTTCAATATTGTAACTGCGAGAAAGTTGTCATGTTACTGCACGATGACCATTATGTTACTGCGGAATTTCTGCGAGACATGAACAGCAAAGAGGTGGGCGGGGGAGGGAGTCAATGGGCGGGTTTGACCGGTGGGAGGGGGCTTTGACCAGTCTTTGACTGAGGTGGGAGGGGGGATTTGGGCCCTAGGAAGAGTGGGGGAGGTGGGAGTGGTCCATGGGAGAGGGGGTGTAGAATAGTTATTCTAGGGGAGGGGTGTAGAATAGATTTGCTATATATATATATATATATATATATATATATATATATATATATATATATATATATATATATATATATATATATATAGGATGCCCATATGGGACTCCATGGTGCCCGGGCTCTAAGGTATAAAACACACAAATTCTCTCAAATTTTTAAAAATTTACAAATTGTAAGTCGATATCTAGGTATATGAATTTGATTCATACAAATACCTAACAACAAAACAACTCAAACTCAACTTTATTTCACAATTCATTATTACATACCTAACGAATTATATGTTTGGATGTTATATACCTAGAACCAAAATCTAACCAAAAAAAAAGTTTAAACTCAGTTCAATCTTGTTTGAACTTGTTAGTAAAGAAGTTAATGTTCATATCTAAACATTTAAAAAAAATTCACACTCATTTAAATTGGGTATATACTTAATTTGAATCTTGGAGCCAATACTCCATGTAGCACCAGTTAATTTACCTATATATATATATATATATATATATATATATATATATATATATATATATATATATATATATATATATATATGCACACACACTTTTATTTTGCCCCCTGATCGATCACTACGTACGTACGTACGTACTCAGTCACTGGTTACGTCGAACGCCAACAGATTGGTAGATGCATGTGTCGTCACAATCGTTGTGGTAAGTAGGATTAATAAAATTTTGCCGCAGTTTACGTAGATAGAAACAATCAAGATGAAAGGGATACTGATATCTATCTATGGTCGAGAAAGTCAGCACCAGTGAAAGCTATTTCCTGCCCAACCTCAGTATCTCACGGTGTACGTGGTCTCAAATTAACTAACGATCAAATGTGTGAACAACAGTAACAGCACACTGGAACCGAATTTTTTCTTTGTAAATGAACAAGTAAAAAAATGTCAAAACTACTCTCAAACATAGGGTAATATCTAAACGAAACATTCTCGCGCAAATGTGTCTGGTGCAATACAATCACGCTCAGAAATAAACATAGCAACATCTCTACTGCACATAGGAAAAGATACTAGCATCCAGATATTATTACATACTCCCTTAGTCCATAAATCTGAACATACATACATATATAGTATTACGATGTATCAATGTGTCATATCTTGTACTACCTTCGTCCCATTTTAAGCGCAGCGATGAGTTTACGTGTCCAACTTTGATCGCCCGTTTTATTTAAATTTTTTTTATGATTAGTATTTTTATTGTTATTAGATGATAAAATATAAATAATACCTTGTGCATAACTTATGTTTTAATTTTTTTTAAAAAATTAAATAAAACATACGGTTAAAATTGGACACAGAGATTCATGGTTGCGCTTAAAATATGACGGAGGGAGTACTATGCTCGTTCTTTATGGAACGAAGGCAGTATCTATTGCCAAACAAATCAGTAGCATGATGGCATCAAGAACCAATACACCAACATGAAATGAACGGTTGCTTTTGATTACAGTTTCTGTGAGCCTAGCAAATAAAAGAAATGGCCAATTACAGTTTCTTGTCAGCCTAGCACAGAAAAGAAAGTAGGCCGGCCAGAAAACATTTATCATCCAGATGCAAAAAAAAATGAAACGTATATATACACATGAAGCTCTGGCATGTCCAGTTCTCCACCTTTCGTACCGGTGACCATGGTTACAACTAATGCTATGAGATCCTGAAAATATGAACAGTCAGTTCCCCACGGTCCAACTCTCACATTATCCTGGAAGACAAGGACAAACTGTATCAATAATTGATTATAAATTCATTATAGTGCAACAGTAATTGCAGATAAAACATCCTTGTGGACTCTGGTAAAACTTACTAGTACAATTTTCTTACGAAGAAACCAATATACAAACAAGACTTATTGCTCTCAACAAAATACGACAAAAGAATGTCACAGATAAAACAGACAGTATGTATGTGGAAAACAATGTAAATGTTTTATTATAACAATCTTTTGAAAGTATGGAAAACATCACGGTTATTGTTGTGAAAAGAAATGCTGAAAACAAATCAGATAGGATTTGCTGTCAATATCTACACTAAAATGGCATTTTTCACCTGGCACAAAATCCTTAAACAATTAGCATACTTGCTTTTGTGATTAACGAATGAAAAGAACTAATAAAGAATATTCATCAATTGTAAACTTATTTTCGAAAGTCCAATCAGAACATACATATTTTCGATACCCTTTTAGGATTCAGCGATTCACAACATACAGTCGATGCGGAGTACAATTGAGCATACCTCATCTGATATGGCTGAAACTGTTAAACATTCCAGTGTTTACTGTCTTGAATACGGGTTTGGCATCTTCAGAAGTTTCAAAAATTTTCCATAACCTTAGAGTCTCATCTGCTGCAACAGAGGCTACTGTAAATCCATCAGGGCTCTGCAACCATATAGCATAAAAACGAAATCAGCAAACAAATCATAAGCAATTACTCATCATTACTATACCACAATAGAAAGAGATATACCTGAGCCAGGCAAAGAACACGAGCAGTGTGGTCTTCAAGTTCTGCCAATTTAACCATTGAAGGGTATTTCCACAATGCAAGTGAATTCTGTACATATCCGTGAGCACTTAGCAGCTCCTTTTCATTCTTATTCCAGAGTAGTCCGCACACCTGTGATCCAGTATCAACAGAATTCAAACATAAACCAGTGTGTGTATTCCAAAACCTGATGCACCGATCATCTCCACCACCACCAGATGCAAGCAAATTGCTCTGGAACGGACACCATGCAAGGGCCTTCACTGCAGCTAAATGATCGCCAAATCTATGAAGCCACCGGTTATGACCTAGAGATAGATTAGAAGATGCCATTGATACATCCCATATGTGCACCAGGTTGTCGTTGCCACCACTTGCCAATTGCTGGCCACTTCCTGACCATCTCAACCCACATACCTCATCCTCATGCCCTCGATATATATGAACAACATGGGATCTCATCCTGACATCATTGTTTACAATGTTTCCATCCATTCCACCAGTTGTCAGTATGTTCTTGTTCCAGGCCAGTGAACCAACCCTTGATTGGTGTACACCATGAAGTGTTCTCAGCTGCCACATTTATACATATGCATATCTATCAGTACAAGTTAATCTGCTTACAATACAGAGCAAGTGTCTAGAACTCTAGATAACTGACCATGCGATTAGAGCTGGTGTCCCACAGCTGAATGTCAGAAGAGTTGAGGCCAACGGCAATCCACTGCCCATCACAAGACCAGCTAACACTAGTGATGGGACCATCATCTTCGTCAATTGTTACAAGGTCCATAATAGATCCATCAGCTGAATTCCAGAGGTACAAGGTGTTCCCAAGCGCAATGGACATCACATTTTTGCATCCCCAGTCCAATATGTTAAGATAGAAGTCATCAACAATCCCAGGGGCATCTAACGTCCTCTCAGAAGACTGAAAATTTAAGCTAAGCTAAGAATGATGTATATTAAAAAAAATCCTAAAAATATGTTTGAAGCAACAAATTAATTTGCATACCTGGGGTATGTGTCTACACTTCCTAGCAGGCTTTGTCTGACTGGAAGTCAAAGTTTCATATAATAGCTGTTGCACAATTCCTTCAGGTTCTGGTGGTTTGTTCCTGAATGCAAGAATCCGGCTTCTGTTGTTCAGGAGTTTCTCGGCAAGAAGCCTCTTGTAAGCTTCTTCAGCTGGTGATAGCATGTCAGTATTTTCCTTCTCCTTCTTAGGTTCTGTCAGGAGGAAATATGCCATATCCATGTCCATTGCTGACCTATCAGGTATGAATCTGTCACCCTGTCACCATAAATATAGAAATACAAATTAGTCATCTTACCACTTTGAAGATCTAATACAAAATAATAACACTAGTCACAAGTCTAAGCACCATTGCACTATCAACTATACTTCAATGATTACTATGTTGAAAGTTCAAATATTGAAGAGACAAGATTGAATTTGTGACACAAGAAGAAAACAATTCCTACATGACTGAAAATTTCAGTACTTCACTGAAGAGAAATACTGTTGGTGTCAAAACATCAAGAACAGTTTGTACCTGTTTTTTTATTGCACACAATCGATTTGTCCACAAAAAAGCTTAACAGAACACTGGACTGATTCATACCGATTTTTATGTGAAAGGACAACCCCAAAATTGAGGAATACAAAGGAAAATCAGGATTGGGACCTACGAGCAATTCTCACTGTCATGTTTAACAAAAGAACAGCGTATTCAGTATATTACTTCAAAAACATATTATTGAGGTCCAGGAATAATATCGATTACTAAAGGTTATCTAGATTCTGTGATTTATGCTTGGCATGGATTATGTAACTAATGTTGGCAAACTTGGCATTGTCTTCCACTCGACTATTGTGCTAGGTTTCTTCGAACATTGATGATGAATATTGATGCAACTGACGAATGAACTTGGTTCTGAACAAGTTACACTGACTATTTTCTTTTGACAAAATTTTTGGCCAAAAAACAGATTGAGTATAGGACAAAATCACCAAGATTTCGAATTTCTTTTGCACTCTAAAAAGAATCATGCATGATCAATTATATTCCCACATCATTAACATTTCCTCATTCCAGGATTGGGGCACGGATCACAGATTCCTCTACAAAATTTCAACATCTAAAACAAGCCAACAAAGACCAATATAATTGGCTCTGCAGACATCAAGAATCAGCGAATCATCTAAAATTGAGTCAGAGCAAATCTATCTCTCGGATTATCAAGAACGACATCGAGAACCTCCTAAGTCCTAAAACATCCATAATTGCGGCATCAACGGATTCCTTCCACACATTCCATCAGGCCCGAACGAGCGGACGGAAATCCATCCAAGAATTCAACTTGGGGGAAGAAGCTAAGAAAAGGGGAGTCATTTGCAGCAACTCACGTAGCATTTCGCGGACGGGTTCTTGGATTTAATACATAGCGGCGGCATGTACGGCCCCCTCGCGCCGGCCACCTCAAGCGGCACCGGCGGAGGCCGTGGCACGAGCCGGCGGCGCTTCGCCGTTGGGACCGAGCCGGAGCCCGGCGCCTCCATGGGCGAGCTCGGCCCAGAAAAACCTAGCAAGAAACTCCCCCGAAAGAACGCGGAGATCAGATCACCACCGACTTAGCGCGACGAAACTATCGATCGAAGGAGAGAGATCGAGAGCTTCTCCGCGTGGTGGATCGTAGGAGAGAGATCTAGAGCTTGTCCCCGCGGTGGATCGACGGGAGATTTCGCGCGAGGCGAGAGAGAATTTTTGGTTTCAGGTTCTTGACGAGGTTTTGAGACGTTTGGGATGGGGATTCTGGAATTGAAGGCGTTAACGGCTAGTTATTTTATTAATCATGTTTTTTTTAGTCCGCTTTTTTTCTAGAAAAAAAATCAAGATTTAGATATAAAATAACTGATGTTTGGTCTGAGCCATGTATACATGCTCGACTGCAGTTTATTTTTGTTGAAAATAATATCGTTGAGAATATTCGGGTTCGTTTTTCAAAGTTGCATAAACTATCCCAATTATCACGGTTCACCCTATTACTCATTAATTTTGTTTAAAAAATTGATAAGTACATTTTATTCCCCCTCTACTTTTGTGTTCTCTAAACTGCGAAACCGGGTATATGTCACTCCTAAACTACCAATATCGTATATTTTACACCCTAGCATGATTTTTGGGGCTATTTTTGGTATAATTGGAAGCCACGATGGATGCCACCTCAACAAGTAGTCCACGTCAATATGCGATCCCACTAGTTAGTCCCATGCTCTCTATTCCTCCCCCCCGCCCCACCCTCCCCTCTCCTCCCTCTCTCGACAAGCTCCATAATACACGAGCAACAGCTCCTAGCAAGCTCTCTCTCCCCTCGTCCTCCGCCTCCTCCCTTCCTCCATCCCCGTTGAGCTCCCTCCCTCCTCTCTCCTGTTGTGTGATCGAGCGACGATGGGTTGAAATCAGCAGAGGACGAGGTAGAGGCAGCGACAAGCGACCATGGAGGGGTTCCGTGGCCACAACGGAGAAGATGACTTCGGCCCAATCGTCAATGCCTCTAGTCAGAGACAAGGAACCAAAGGCGGAGAAGAGGACAGGGATGTGGTGCCGACGGCGTGGTGGCGTAGATCCGGCGTTGGTGTCGAGATCGACGGGGCGGTGATGTAGGTAGGGTCTGGATGGCTACCCCGACACTGGGCCCTAGTCGCACTGTCACGACACGGTGGGCTCGAGGCATGGCTGTCGAGGTCGGAGAAGACGGGATCAATAGGGCATGGCGCTCGATCCCTGAGTCCCAAATACAGTGCCCTCCCTTGCTGATGTTGGAGAAGACTGTGTCAACAGGGTGGCCTCGAGCTCAAGCTTGCTAAATCCATCTTTCTTTTTGGACGGCGGTATCCCTCGGGAGGATTCCAACTCTGGCGGTCGTCGAGAAGGAGCACGTTGGCAACCCTCCAGACCACAGGGAGGCTTTTGGTGCCAAGCTGGCGGCACTCGTATTGTAATCCCGTGCGTCATGAGGGAGAGGAGAGATTGAGAAAGGAAGAGAGAAAGAGAAGGCTTGGTCTGACAAATAGGTTCCACAGTTCTATATTATTTTGCTGACTGAATTACCACATCAGTAAAAACCACCTAGTTTAGATGATGGGAGTAAATTGAAATGTTAAACAGTTGAAGGGTGTTGGATATCCGATTTTAAAGTTGGAGGATGTGTTTTAGATAAACGTAATATTTGAGAGGTGTAAAATAGGCTTATCCCCCAAAAAAACACCACCTAACTCATGTGAGTCGTTGACACGGCTTATTCCTTTATGTATGGATTGTAGTCCACTATACCAGACAGGTCGCGCTCCACACGTGGCTATAAGCTGAGTCCGACTTGAGCAGCTTCTTAGGATAGTTCGAAGTGGGAAGACAAAAGGGAAGAGTGGGGGTAGCAATTTCGCTCTAGCAGTGTTAAAATGGGCTGGATGGTGTTTTTGCAATAAAATGGGCTGGATGTTTATGCAACTTTCCTGGCGCGACTGCACGGTGTGATGGCTGTCAATTCCACGCAAGTTTCAGACTACAAAATTGTTTCTAAAGACAGATAAGCCCAAATTTTGTCAAGTGCGCTTCCTTGTCAAAATGGTACTAGCTTAATTATGCTGAACTATTTGCAACTTGCAAGAAAACGCAAAAATGATTGTAACATGTCAGTATTTTCTGTTGGGCATATCAAACAAGTTAAGCAGGTATATTCGTTAAAACCAACAGAGCTGAAATGTGTTCTGTTAAAAAAAAATTCTGTTGCGGCCAACTAAAGACTACGAACTGAACTTTTAACCTATAACCTAGACAAAAAATCAATTACCTGCTGCTCAGCTCAGTGCCTGAACATTTGACAGTTGTCTTACACTCACAACACTGATTGAACATTTCCAAGCACATAAGGGCATTTAACGGTGCACTTGCATAGATGGAACAAAAGGGACTAGTCTTTGTTGACGGCATATCATAGAAATTCTCTTTTACCATAGCCACAAGCTAGCAAAACTGAATACTTTCAAATACGTTGATCATTGCTTGGACAAGCTAATCCCCAAAGAGAAGATGGAACTAGTTGCCAAATGTTATCCAATCATAAAAGTGAAATGGTTAAGCACTTCCTTTTTTGATAAAGGGATATCACCCCAGCTTCTATTGAAAGCTGAATAGGAGTTTTAAGGCAACATAAAAGGCTGGGGTTACCAACTTAACAAGACAGCTAACAGTTCTCCATCTAATAGCCAAAAGATTAGACAACATTAAGCCAACACTACCCTATCCAACAGACCGAAACCAAAAGATCAATGGACGTATATGCCAGCTAAATTCCAGAAGATATATAGCATTCACTCTTTCGACCGCAGGACGAAGCCAGCCACGACTTTATCGCTGTCCACCTGTCAAAGCAAAATGTTCCATGACTATAAGAAGAAAATGAATTCGTAAAGCGTCAGACTAATATTTGAAGGCAATTTATGTTCAATTGGCATCTTACTCCGTATTTCTTAGCCGCCAAATAGACAGGTCTCCGTAAAGTCGTAAGACAATGTATGGGGCCTGACGCCTGCCTAGTGTCGTAACTACATCTACACACCGAAGTCATCCAAGAGAGGAAGCCAGAACTATTTCTAAGGAAATCAGGCATTGTTCTCCTAAAAGGGATGCCATGCTCAGCCGTCAGCAACCAAGCACTGAAGTACTATTAGAGTATTAGGTTCAGGACAAATATCAAATAATTTTATGTTTTTTGGGTTGTTGGATGTTATCTAAACTCTCCTATGAACTCTTAATACAAATGGTGCGACTGCCTATGCGCATTCCCTAAAAGAATATCAAATAACTTTTGGAAAATGAGTTTTGAACATAGAGCTCCGAAACCAAATCTCAGTCCCGAATTCAGTGCGTTTGCTAAAAAAAATCCCCAGAACTTAGTGCTTTGATCCGGTTGAGCAGGTTTGGTTTCGGAGCAATCTGACAAACAAATTAGACAGAACATTACCTACTACTCCATCAAGCAGATGCAGATGGAACGTGAAGATCGTTGGTATCATCCGGGCTTGGTGCCAGAGGTGCCAAACGGAAGAAGAATGGAAGTGCAGGACCCCTGAAAGGCTCGTCCGCATCGTTGCAAATGATGTCCAGCTTCATGGTGTTCAGGTTGAGGACGAGAAGATAGGAATTGGGCTTCCTGATGGACCAGAACTCCATGTAGACATAACCAGCCTTTGCTGCCAGGACACGCACCCTCTTCATCCACTCCTCACGCCGCAGCTTCTTCAAGTACCCGAACTGATCCAACAGCGAGATCTCCATCCACCATTGCTGCTGCCGCTGCGGACCCAGAGCTGAAGGTTTTGTTCCTTGCTGGACACGAGGCACAGCCGGCCGTGCTCCGCCAAGTCGGCGATGCAGTACGACTACCCCACCGGAAACGGCGCCACGGTGACCGTCCACTCCATGGTGGCTACGTCGAGCAGTAAGATCCGCTCGTCGTTGTCGTAGTACCTGCACTTCTTGTTGTTGGACCGCCAGTACACGAACCGGCCGGCGGGCATGCCGTCGCTGCGGGTGAATTCGTACAGGTCTGCCGTGTGGTCGAACAAGGCCCATTTACCGGTGCTGGAGGAGAAGACGGCGAAGAACATGTCGCCGTCGATGCCGATGACCCGGAACGAGGCGTCGGCGTCGTCGACGACAATCGCGTACCTGACCTTGAGGAACGACCCATGGAAGTTTTGCGGCGGAGAAGAAGATGGCAGTCCGCGCGAGGGGATCGTAGACGGCGAGTCAAACCCGCCGCAGCCGCGGGACAGGAGGAGGCGACCGCCGTCGCAGCCGCGGAGGCGCCACTCGTCGAAGTAGCCACCGCCGCGTTGCTCGCCCGAATCGATATCAGGGACGTCTTCGAAGAAGATGTCGCAATCGGCGGCGGCGGACGCCAGGTTGGGCTTACGGGTGGTGGCGCTGACGAAGTAGTGGTTGGGGCAGCTGTAGGGGACGGAGTCGCCGCGGTCGGTCAGGATGAAGCCGATGAGCGGGGGGCGGCGGAGCGGGAAGAAGCGCCGGAAAATGGCGGGGTCGGAAGCCGCGCGGCGCCAGCGCTTGCAGGCGAGGGCGGCGTTGACGAGTGACGCCATGTTAGGGAGTCGGAGGAGATCCTCACTGACGGCGTCGAACGGCGACGAGATCGTCGGCTTCTTGACGGCGCCGCGCTCCCTTCTCACAGACGGTTCCATCTCTCGCTCTCAGTCTCTCTCGCCTCCTGGATTGGCGAGTTTGGTTTATATCGCTTTGCCCTTTTGGCGCGAAATACACTTTGGCTTGCCGCCAAAAATATTTTCCCGCGATTTCTAGCGCCAATAATTGTTCTCGTTATACTTTTATCCTTTTGACTCGCCATTTCATCAAAAGTAGCATGACAACAAAATACTTTCTGGATCTTATTTTCTGTTAGGAGTGGATTTTAATGTTCTATTAACTACATGGATTAACTCATTATAAGTGTCTCGTTGTCGATAGTCTGAAATATTAATTTTAAATTTCTGTTAGCTCCATGGATATTTTGTTTCCATAAAATCTTCATCAAATTTCAAATATTCGAAAGGTTTCTAAAATAAGAAAATTATGGAGACTAAGCAAAACTTTTCCCTCACAAAATTAACCTGAACGTACACTTGTGGTTAGGGAAGCATCCTAACAATATTCCATTATTCCACGTATATTGGTAGTCAACAAGGAGCCTCATCGATTTGCCTAATAAACCAAAGCAAACGTCAATTATGAAGTTAATTTTATGATATTTTCAACGCAATTTCTTTGTAGCGTTGGCTTTTAAGTCGCTATAAACAAATATATATAAGTTTTATCTATAAATTAATTTTTATTTTCTAATAAGCCATTTAGGAATATGTACAACCGAGGAGGCTATAGTCATTCTTCTGCCTCAATTAATGCAATTGTAAAATCATAGTGGATAGAAACTTACGCGACAACTTAATGTCCAGCGCTTTCGCTTTTTATAAGGAAAGGCACTACCCCAATGTAGGCCTCGCAAAGATGAACAAATATGCTCAGAAAAGCGATGGAGTTGGGGTTTAGGTGCAAAAGAGAAATGTCGTAGAAGTTTAATATCAGCAAGAGGAATTCGGAAGGAGGAGGTAGAAAGCCACATCAGATGAAATCCTCTACCGCTACCATACGACCTAAAACGGGAGAAGGGACAGTACCTCCTACCTCCCTCGCCATGGTTTGCCTTGGAGGGACGGCTCCTCCGGTGTACAGCTTCTTTAGCGCGGCGGCATCGGAGGAAGATTGCTCGAGGTCCGCCATTGGGGGAGATTGCCGGAAGAAGATCGCTGATGGAGGGTGTAGGAGATTGGGGAGACGGAGAGTCCGGGGAAGCTGGGGAACAGTGAGAGTTTTTGGCAAACGGACTCGAAATGGATCCCAAAATCCCATTAAATAGGCGCACTATCTGATGGTTCGTATTTCGAGGAAAGGGGAGAGATTTTCGCCGAAAATTTCTGAGGCCCATTGGGGACCGTTGTTCAGACTTCAATTTAAATTCAAAACCCGCACATATAGGCTCCCTGAAAGCGTTATCGATAACTCTATGTCTCTACGGTTATATAACCGAGATCGATCCAACGAGTACGACAACGCTCCATCAGGAGAAGTCGCGTGCGAGGACATAATTCATTTAAATTGAAGTCGGGGGCTACTGTCAGGGTTACGGATAAGCATACCCTCTATCCTACGACTTATGGAATATACCGATAAGGTATACCTTCACGTATACGGTTGGTTTCCGTATACGCCGTTAGGAATTCGCCTCAAATTATGGAAAATATCTCCACGAAGTTAAGGAATTGCAGAAGTCCTACTCGGAGAGGGTAAAATCTCTAGTATATCGTGTCGGTTTACATATCTCCAAGTCTTACTTGAGGGTCAAGGTATCCCACGATATAAAAGGGACCCCATGGGAGAGGCAAAGGACATCGCATCTCTTCGCCAACACACCCACCAAAGTTCACGAAGCCGGAGTCCACGGAGCCAACTCGCCGGGGAGATCTTGTCGAATCCCTCGACTACGATCTCATCGGTATCACCTGTTCGATTACTCTCTTTGTAATCTGTTCTCATCGTCATCAATCCCATATAAACTAGACTAGGGCTATTACCTGATAAGGGGTCTGAACTAGTATAATCCTTGTCTTTTGTCTGTTTTGATGTCGTACTACGTAGATCCCTGCTCCAACGTACCCCAATACCCTATTCTTCCTGTCTGTGAGTATCACTCGTCGGCAGTCTTCTCTGGCTGAACCTCTTCGTCAGCCAAATTTCTAGATGGCGCTTCCTTGGAGATACCGTTAGCTCCTAGTGTTAGGATATGGCGGATCACGAGTGGACTTACCTCCCCTTGTTGTGATCGCCTTGACATTTTCAATGGAGGAGTCGGGCTGCCCCAGAATCCTCCCAGATTCATTTGCAGGTACTAATGAAGTCAATTGAGCTAGCTGGGTTTCTATCATCTTATTAAAGCTCAGCTAGTTTTGAAAAGCAGAAGCGAAGCCATCTAGTTTGACATTAATGTTTTCTATGACCTTGTCATTGGCAGCTAGCTTTTTGCTTAAAGCATCAGTGGTTTTAGCTTGCGCAAAGACGATATCCTTCAAGGAGGGTTGGTTAGAAAAATTACCGTTATTGTTACCTCCTTGATAGTATGGGCATGGCTGGTTCCACCCCTGACTCCTTGTGGACGATACCCGTTGTTGTTGTTGTTGCCCATGTACATCACCTCTTCACGGGTTTCCAGGCAGTTATTCCCAGAATGACCTGTGCTGCCGTAGACCTCACACGTGACGTGTAAGTCCAAGGCTTTGACGGTGCCTTGTGACCGTTTGTCGTGATCGTCCAATTGCTTCCTGAGGAGGTCCAGCTTGGTAGCAAGCATTTCTGTCTCCTTGACGGTGTACATGCATCGCCGACGGGTTTGGAGTCGTTCCTCGCTCCAACCCATATTGGAGACCATCTTCTCTATTAGATCAATGGCTCCTCGAACCATCTTAGAGAAGAAGGCTCCTCCAGCTGCCGCGTCCAGGTGGTCACGGGACATGGGAGTGAGTCCATTGTAGAAGTTCTGCAGGATCAGCCAGTCGTCCATCCCATGATGAGGACAGGCGGCCACGTATTCCTGAATTTGTTCCCATGCTTTAGGAATGGACTCGTCCCTTGTCTGCTGGAAACTTGGAATTCTTCCATGAAGGGCGTTGGTTTTGCCCATCGGAAAGAACTTCGAGAGGAATGTCGTAGAGCATCTGTCCCAGGTGTTGATAGTAGCACGGTTGGCATAAAACCACTGCTTCGCCTTCCCGAGGAGGGAAAACGGAAACAGCCGCAGCCTGACGGTGTCCGAACTGACACCCTTCATGGTGTACGTGCTACAGATCTCCAGGAACTACTGCAAATGAGCATTGGCATCCTCGTTAGGCATGCCGCAGAACGGGCTAGCCTGCGCCATCGTGATGAGGCTGGACTTCAGATCGAAATCCACATCTCCCATGTTGATCTGCAGCCCAATGTCCACATTGTCAGTAGAGGGAGCAGCGAATTCATAGAGGGTCTTGTCAGCCATAGTCTTGAAGGTCGGTGGAGCTGGTATGGCTGGTTTCTTTGTCGGTAGAGTTTTCTGCGGAGCGACGACTTGCGGCTTGACGCTCCGGAAGAAAGCTTCTGGATTTTCCTTAAAGTTTTTTGGCAAGTTGAAACCAGTCATGCACTACACTGTTGTCACGCCCAGAAATTCCCGAATAGAATTTCAAGCAGAATGTGCATTAAATTCCCCGTCCAGGACCAGCCTGGGTACACAAACGACAATGTTGACATTCAGATCCACGTCTTACAAACATCATAAAAGTCTTACATAAATGCAGCGGAAGAAAAGAAAGACAACAGGAGCTAAGCCTTGACTAAAACTGCAGCAGGAACACCACTCCACAGGCATCCTCGACGGCACGGACGAAGCCTACTCCTCGGAGAAACCTTCATCTGACCCGAACTCGAACTCTGGGGTTGGGAAAAGTAGAGCAAGACTGAGTACTACCCACTGTACTCAGCAAGTCATACCGGAATAGGGGTATGATGCAGGGAATCATCAAAGAAGAGCTGAAGTGGTTCATTTGCATAAAGCGAGCATTTATAAACAGAAGTTGAAAGATTTAAACAGTTGTAATAATTAATTAGTATCAACTATCCACTGTCCAACGCTAACCCACATTGCGACAGGCCCAACCATCCACCTAAATTATCCAAATTCAAAAGATTACACTAGGGTGAGACTAATCACGGTGAATCTGGTTGACCGCCCATAACCGCGGGCACGGCTATTCGAATAGTTTTACTCTGATCAGAGGTGTACAACTGTATCCACAAGACACAGCCCCACGACACGTTTCCGTGCGCCGACATGCCACCACGACATATCGGAAAGAGGCCGTGACAGGACCCTTCGCATAACCCCCTCTAGCCAAGCACACCACACCTCAGGTTTCACCCCCGTCCCCAGCGGGCAACGGGCAGTCCCCTCTCGTGCCTAGGTGAATCCGGAAGCGACAGAGGCCGTCGCAGGGCCCGCCCCGCTCCATCACGCCCACCCTTGCCTGGATGCGTCGACTAGAGGAGAGCTACACTACAAGCCCAGCCGTTGCCCACGCTGGCTTGTGGTAAGTACGATAAGTTCTTCCAGGGCATCCCGCGAACCGGTCCTTAACTGCCATGGGTGCGACCAGCAAAACCATGCACCCACAGCCCACCATGTGATTTATTTTAATTAACCAACACCAAAGCGGTGTCACTAATCCAACAAAACTATTAGAACCAACAGTCTAAACATTAATAGGATTTTCCCCAATGTGAACTAGTTGAACTAGGCATGGCTAAGCAATCCCTAGTCCTAACTCTAATCATGTTAGAACCCCAAGTTGACAAAGAAACATGGTACATCAACAGCATGGCTACGACAATAGGTAAACAACCCATAGTATCATTATAAAACAATGCAATATTTGAAAGAAAACAATAGAGCATTTGCAATATAGGATCAACATATTCAAGTGACAAGCATGACTTGCCTTGCTCTGCTGCTGGAGGAACCTCGGCGACTATCTCGAAGTACACCGGAGCGTCGGGAGAGCCGGAATCTAGCGACATACAAGGCAAACATTGCAAACAGGCTATAAGACTACTGAAACAGGAAACAAAACCATTTTTAATGGATTCTACACATTTTTCTTGATTTACTGAGACTTGAATGGGCTTAAACGGAGCTCGGATGAATTAGTTATGAATTTTAGAAGATTCACTGTGTTTATTACTATACAAGAAAAAAC